CTTGAGAGGGAGGTGAGAGGCTAAAATGTTCAAGAAGACAAGGTGAATGGGGCAGTCTGCCCTTCTGCGTGGTTGCCTCGGCCTGAAGGGGGAGGGTGTGGACATGGAAGGGTGTGCTGAGAAAGGGGACAGGAGAATGAACCTTTGGCCAAGTGTCTTTAGAGGAAGTGGGTCATTTTCCACAAGACTGGCTTCCTCAGTAAAATGACTCTCTGTTTCCCCCGCTTGCCAGAGTGCCCTGGGAGAAGCAGTGGCATTAACTTGAGGTAGGATAAGCCTCTCCTTGAAGGACAGTTAGTTGTAAGACACCCTGAAGACAAAGCTCCACTTTCTGGAGCTTTACAGGGCATTTGTTTCTCCCTCTCCCAACCACCCCCAGATCCCTGCTCTCCACTTTCTTTCGGTCCCTGTAATCAGCTTGATCTCAACCGCATGATTTGGCCACCAGCAACAATGCACACGACCTGACTTCCTCCTTTCCCTCCCTGCCTTGGGCACCAGAGGAAGAAGAGTGACTGTTTCTGCTAGAAGCTGGGAGTGTCCTTTCCCACATGCTGATGATAAATGGGGGAAGAGAGGTGGTGGTGGTGTGTGGGGGGGGGTGTCCCTCTTTCCCTTTCAGAATCCTGGCGTTAAAGCAGTGCTAGGATTTACACATGGCTCTTTATTGTGCATTGCTCTGTAGACTACAGAGAACCCGTTATCTGTTAAAGCCCGAATTGATTCACTAGGTAATAAATGAAAGAATCCTCCCTGGGCTCTGAGGCAGTATTCCTTATGCTATTGGTAGCATTAAGCAGGCTTTTACAATGGGAGATAAGCCACCCTGATGTTCTGCCGGACAGAATGTGTGGAAGCCAGGTGGACTTTACAGAGCTGAGAATTGGTGGCAGGGACAGAGAAGGGTGTGGTCACTTGTGTCTTGGGTCATTCGCTTAGATCTGTATATATTAAGAGTTATTCTTTAGAAGCTGAGAAGATGGCTTAGTGGATAAAGTGCTTGCCATGCAAGGCTGTGTTACTGTGCCTGTCTAACACACCTGGTGGTCTAATGAAGAGCTGACTGGCCAGTGGCAAGGCAGGAGAAAGGATAGGCGGGGCTGGCGGGCAGAGAGAAGATGTAGACATCTGGGAGGCAGTGGCCAGAGAAGGAGGAGGACCCAGGGGCCAGGCACCCAGCTACACAGCAAGCCGTGGAGTAAGAAACAAAGAAAGGTATACAGGAGCAGAAAAGGGAAAAACCCAGAGGCAAAAGACAGATGGGATAATTTAAAGTTAAGAAAAGCTGGCAAGAAACAAGCCAAGCTAAGGCTGGGTGTTTCTAACTCCGAGTAAGCCTCTGTGTATGGTTTATTTGGGAACTGGGTGGTGCCCTCCCAAAAGAACAAACAGACAAATAACAAGGTTGCATGACTGCTGAGCTATTGAATGATGGAGGCTGGTGGAAGGTCTCAGCTGAATTCTATTAGACATTCATCTCAAGGCCCTATGGTCACATTTTCTGGAAACAAGCCATGTGGCATTCAGCTACACCTTTTTCAATAGATAAGCTCGGGAAATTTGTAAACGAAACCTTAAGTTGCTATTTTGGTTAGAGTGTTTCCTTAATGGAATTAAATAATGAACACTTTTTAGGCACAAACGATCATCTCTCAATTTTAACTCTTCTGGAAATGTTGACTGTTATGTGTTAGAAAATGATCATCCTCTAGTGCACAGGGCACATGGGCAAATATGTCATTTAGTGGCGATATGGTTGAAGTGTAAAGAGTTCATCGCTTTTATCCCCATTCCTAGTAAATCTGTTCTGTGTCTCCCAGCTTGCAGAACATTAATGCAGGACGTGGGCGAACATCTGAAGACAATATATCAGCTAGGCAGCCTGCACCTCTCTGGTGTGTGGTATTTCTGGATGTGACCACTGTTGAGTATGCAGGGGAAGGACATAATGACTGTGCGGATCTTGTGGTCTCCGTCGTTGGGACATCGTGTCTTCCAGGACAAGGGGTGAATGCAAAGTAGCAGAAGGATGCTCTTCAGAGACCAACAAATTACCAAAAAACTTAAGGACTGCACTAGATTCTTGAAGTTCACGCTCTATTCTTCCTCTTCCTAGGGGTGAAAAGGATATTGAACACTTAGCCTCTCACTGTTAACATAGTCCCAGTTGGAGTCAAAGTGGCACTCAGTCAACAGGAATGGACAGATTGCTCCATGATCAGTATGGAGGAAAGGAGTTCCTGCATTCAGAAGATATACAAGCTAAATGTCAGCTGTGATCATGTCTCCCATCCAGTATGATGCTGGCACACTTGGAACAGTGGTTCTTTTTTTTTTTTTTTTTTTCAGCTGAGGATCGAACCCAGGGCCTTGCGCTTGCTAGGCAAGCGCTCTACTACTGGGCTAAATCCCCAACTCGGAACAGTGGTTCTTAACCTGTAGGTTGAGACCCTTTAGAGGGTTGAAGGACCCTCTCACAGGGGTCACCTAAGACCATTGGAAAACACAGATATTTACATTATGATTCATAACAGTAGCAGAATTACAGTTATGAAGTAGCAATGAAAATAATTTTATGGTGTGGGGATTACCATAACATGAAGAATGGTATTAAATGGCTGAAGCATTAGGAAGGTTGAGAACCACTGACTTAGGAGGTCATTGAATCCCCAAAGAAATTCTGGATTGTGAGTGTTTCAACTTCAGTCATGTCTTACAAATGAATATTTTGAAAATTTAACCTTAGTATCTGTGAATGAGATTTTACTTCAAAATACTGTCTTTGCAGGTATAGCCAAATTAAGATAAGTTTATACTAGATTAGGATGGCTCTTTTTGTTTATTTCCCCCCCTTTTTTTTTTCTTCTTTTTTCGAGACAGGGTTTCTCTGTGTAGCTTTGCGCCTTTCCTGGAACTCGCTTTGGAGACCAGGCTGGCCTCGAACTCACAGAGATCCGCCTGGCTCTGCCTCCCGAGTGCTGGGATTAAAGGCGTGCGCCACCACGCCCGGCTTTTTCCCCTTTTTTACATTTCAAGTACTTTAATTAAAATAAATTATTGAACATTTACACAAATTAACAATAAACTATACATTTCAATGACTCCAAGAAATTCTCAGGTTACATGTAAATGTAAATAATTATGAGTAGTACCTAATCTCATCACTGAAAATTAAAGCTGCCGGGCAGTGGTGGCGCACACCTTTAATCCCAGCACTTGGGAGGCAGAGCCAGGCGGATCTCTGTGAGGTCGAGGCCAGCCCGGTCTACAGAGCAAGATCCAGGACAGGCACCAAAACTACACAGAGAAACCCTGTCTTGAAAAACAAAAAACAAAACAAACAAACAAACAAAAAACCAAAAAAAAAGAAAAGAAAAGAAAAGTAAAGCCACTGGAAGATTTTATTTTTATTTTTTTACTTTGTGTCTAATATCTTTTTCCCTTTACTGAAAATAGTTTTCCCCCCATATAATATATCCTGATTATGTTTTCTCCTCCCTCTACTCCTCCAACCTCATCCTCCCTTCCCTTCCCCTCCCATCTGGATCCACCCCCTTACTGTCTCTCACTAGAAAACAAATAGGCTTCCCTGGGATTTTAATATAATATAACATAATATATGATATGATATAATATAATATAATATAATATAATATAATATAATATAATATAATATAATATAATACAATACAATACAATATAATATAATATAATATAATATAATATAATATAATGTAACATGGTATGATATAATATAATATAGTAAGATGAAACAAAAACTAACACACTGGAATTGGACAAAAGAAATGAACAGAAGGAAAAGAGCCCAAGAGGAGGCACAAGAAACAGAGTCCAACTCATTCTCACCCTCAGGAGTCCTCTAAAGACACTAAACTGGAAGCCATGATAGAGTGTGCAAAGGACTTGTAAGGTAAAAAGAGAAAAGAAAAAAATGCATAAATAAAATAAAAATAATAAGATAAAAAAGGAAGAGCCCTGACACATTATGAGACAAGGAACCTTCAACGATGCTGTTGAGTTTGTTTTCTGTTGGTCTGCTGCTGGGCATCCAGCCTGCCCTTTAAGAGTAGTTTGTTTCCCCAGTGAGACTCCCTTGTGGGGAAACTGAATTTTCATTTGCAAGTGGTTATCAATTGGAGATAGCTTCTAGGTGAGGGATGGGGGCGTGTGTCAATTTCTCCTTCCAGCTCTAGGACCTCAACTGGTGCAGAACTGTGCAGAATCTGTGCATGCTGCCTCATTTTCTGTGAGTTCGTATGTGCATTGATCACGCTGATTTAGAGAGCCTTGTTTGGTTTTTGGTGTCTTCCATACCCACTGGCTCTGACATTCTTCCTGCCTACTCTTCTGCAGGCTTCCCTGAGCCCTGAAGTGAGGGATTTGATGGAGACATTCCATTGAGGACCGAGTGTTCAGAGGTCTCTCACTCTTTGCATGTTGTCTGGCTGTGCGTCTCTGTGTTTGCTCTCATCTGCTGAAGGAGGAAGCTTCTCTGATGATGGCTGAGCCAAACACTGATCTATGAGTATAGCTGGATGTGACTAGGAGATTAGGAGTTATTTTATTGCTACACTTTTTTCTTCCCTTCCCTTCCCCTCTTTCTTCTTCCATTCTCCCTCCCTCCCTCCCTCCCTCCCTCCCTCCCTCCCTCCCTTCCTTCCTTCCTTCCTTCCTTCCTTCCTCCTCCCTTCCTTTCCTTCCTTCCTTTTCTTCCTTCGTTCCTCTCCTCCCTTCCTCTCCTTCCTTTCCTTTCTTCTTTTCTTTCTTTCTTTCCTTCCTTCCTTCCCTCCTTCCTTCCTTCCTTTCTTCCTTCCCTCCTTTCTTTCTTCCTTCCTTCCCTCCTTTCTTTCTTCCTTCCTTCCTTCCTTCCCTCCTTTCTTTCTTTCTTTCTTTCTTTCTTTCTTTCTTTCTTTTTCTTTCTTTCTTTCTTTCTTTCTTTCTTTCTTTCTTTCTTTCTTTCTCTCTCTTTAGAACAGTAGCATTTGGTTTTACCCTAGGTCCCTGGGCTGTCTAGTCTCAGATTTGTAGTCACCCAAGCAGTGTTTAGCCAGTATGGATTCCATCTTGTGTAATGGTCCTTTAATCAAGTCAGATATTGTTTGGTTATTCCCACAGACTTTGTGCCACCATTGCAGTAGCATATCTTACAGGCAGGACACCACTGTAGATCAAAAGGTTTGTGGCTGGGTTGTTGTTTATGTTTCTCATTTGGTAGCATGCAGAATACCTTCCTGGACCAAAGATGCTAGCACATAGGTGTGATGGCTCTGTGAAGGCACCAGCTCCACTTCTTCCTATTGAATGAGTTATGTACTTGTTGGCTTCATCAATGGGGCCCTGCCATTAGTTTTGGAAACCAATCTATAGTCTTGGCAACAGCCTGGGTTGTTTGGGGGCTTCCAGGGGACCCATTTGGCCAACAACTAAATTTGATGTAACCCAATCCCAGTACTAGAAGCTTCATTTGGTGACAATGGGGCTCTGTCTGCCCCATTATTTGGTGATTTCATTTACATTGCCTTCATTTAGAAAGCATCTTCTATATTAGGTTTGACTATTGACCCTCAGATGACCCTTAGTTTTAGCACTCTCTCTGCATATTCCTTCCTTCATCCTCCTTCCCCCCGCCCACTTGAGCCTCGTGTTCCAGTCTACAGCCCATTCGTCCATAAATACCTATTCTACTTCCCTTTCCTAGGGAGATCTATCTGTCTCCCTCTAATTTCTTACTTTATACCTAACCTCTGTGGTTTTACAGATTGTAGCTTTGTTATCATTGACTTAACGGCTAATGTCCACATATGTATAAGCAAATACATGCCATATTTGTCTTTCTGGGTCTGAGTTGTGTCATTCAGGATGATTTTTTTTCCTAGTCCCATCCATTTATCTGTGAATTTTGTGATTTTATTTTTTTAAATGGCTGAGTAATAGCTCATTGTGTAAATGTACCACATTTTCTTTATCCATTCTTCTGTTGAGGGACATCTAGGTAGTTTCCAATATCTGGCTATTATGAGTAAAGCAGCAATGGACGTGGTTGGACATGGTTGAACAAGTGTCTCTGATAGGATGAAGTGACCTTTGAGTATATGTCCCAGAGTGGTCTAGCTGGATCTTGAGGTAGGTCAAATCCCATCTTCCTAAAGAATCGCCACATTGATTTCCACAGTGGCTGTACAAGTTTGCCCTCCCACCAGCAATGGAGGAGTGTCCCCCTTACCTCACATCCTTGCATGAACTGTCATTCATTTTCTTGATTTTTGCTCTTCTGATGGGTGTAAGATGAAATCTAACCTAGTTTTGATTTGCATTTCCCTGATGACTAAGGATGTTGAACATTTCTTCAAGTCGTTTCTCAGCCATTTGAGTTTCCTCTTCTGAGAATTCTGTTTAGGTCTGTACTTCATTTTAAAATTGGGTTATTTTATTGATATCTAGTTTTTTGATTCTTTATGTATTTGGGATGTTAGTCCTCTATTAGCTGTGGAGTGGGTAAAAATCCTTTCCCATTCTGTAGTGTGACACTTTGTCCAAGTGACAGTGTCCCCTGTAGTGCAGAAGCGTCTCAGTTTCTTGAGGTCCCACCTGTTCATTGCTGATCTTGGTGCCTGCACTGTTGATGTCCAGTAGTCTCCTGTGCCGATGAACTGAAGGCTATTCCCCGCTTTCTATTCTGTCGGGTTCAGTGCATTTGGTTTTATGTTGAGGTCTTTGATTCACTTGAAGTTGAGTTTTGTGCAGGGTGATAAATATAGATTGATTTGCATTTTTCTGCTTGCAGACATCTAGTTTTACTAGCACCAGTCTTTGAAGATGCTGTCTTCTTTCCAGGGTATATTTCTGGCCTCTTTATAAAAAAAAGTCATGTGTTCGTATGTGTGTGGATTTATGGCTTGGCCTTCATTTTGATTCCATTGATCAATGTGTCTATTTTTGTGCTAATATCATGCCATTTTTATTACTATAGCTCTGTTGCACAATTTGAAATTGGAATGGTGATACCTCTAGCAGTTCTTTTATTATGAATTACTGTTTCATCTATCCTGGGTTTTTTATATTTCCATATGCAACTGAGAATTGTCCTTTCAAATTCTATATAGAATTGTGTTGGAGTTTTGATGGGGATTGCATTGAATCTGTAGATTGCTTTTTTTAGGAAGGCCACTTTTACTATATTAATCCTATTGATCCATGAGCATGCGAGATCTTTCCATATTCTGATATCTTTTTCAGTTTCCTTCTTCAATGTCTTAAAGTTTTTAATTGTTCCAGTCTTTCACTTCCTTGCTTGGAGTTACTCCAAGATATGTTGTATTATTCGAGGCTATTATGGAAGGTCTTGTCACCCTGTTTTTTTTCCTCAGTCTGTTTGTCATTTGTGTATAGGATAGCTATTTATTTTTTTATCCAGCCACTTTTATGAAAGTGTTTATCAGCTGTAGGAGTTTCCTGGTGGAATTTTTAGGGTCATTTATGTATACTGTCATGTAGTGTGAAAATAAGAATGCTTTGACTTCTTCCTTTCCACTTTGTATGATCTTGATCTCCTGCAGTTGTCTTATTGTTCTCACCAAGACTTCAAGTACTATATTTGAATAGGTATGGAGAGAGTGGACAACCTTGTCTTGTTCCTGATTTTAGTGAAATTGCTTTGAGTTTTTCTTTATTTAAGTTGATATAAGCTATGGGCTTGCTGTAAACTGCCTTGATTATGTTGAATTATGTCCCTTGTGTCCCTAATCTCTCCAGTACTTTTATCATAGTGTGGCTTTTATTCAATTACTGGTGTCCTTGTAAAATGAAGGGGATTTAGGTGATCCCAGAGAAGAGAATGCATCACGGACACTCAGGCACACAGGAGGAAGAGGGCAGACTTCAGAGTCATGGAGCTGCATTCTAAGGACTCCAAAGACTTCTAAAAACAGCCACAGGAAACAGAGAGAAGGAAGTGTGGCATAGCCTTTTTCCTCTGAGTTCTCCAAAAGGAACTGATCTTTCTGATATCTTGATTAGGGATTTTTAGTGTCCAGATCTGTGAAAAAGTACATTTCAAGTGCCTGATACACAAAGTTATTGGTGCTTTGCTATGACACCCCTAGGAGATCAATCACATGAGTTAGTCCACTCTCATGAGTGGACTACACAGGTTACTGGGATGTTAAGGAACATGTCCAAGAGTACATAGCCTTTACAGCATTAAAATGGGTTTGTTTTCATTTTCTCCACTGCCAGCTTTCCTGCCCCCTCCTCTACCATCCCTTGGGATTTTCCCAAGGCTTCACACTTGCTAGGCAAATGTTCTACCATTGATATATATTCTCAGCCCTAAAATGGCATCTGGTATCCAAAAGCTATGATGTCAAGTTTTAGATCCTTTCCTCCACAATACCTTGTTTTATGGAATACAGAAGGAACCCACATTGTCCTGTTCAGAAAAAAAAAATTAATCTGTAACTTCAGAACTAATTAGATTGTAAGTGAATAAAAAGCTCATACAACAGTGATTCAATTTATGAGCATACTCAAACTGAAAACAAAGGTTTTTGAAGAGATATTTGTATAGATGATCACAGCATTATGACTGATGACTAAGAAGCAGAAACTACCTGAGTATCTTGCAATAGGTGAACAGATAAACAAGATGTAACCATACAGTATAATATTGCTCAATCTTAAATATGAACAAAATGTGGACACCTGCGACAACTTCAATGACCCATTGAAACGTTATGCCAAGTAAGAGGAGCCACTCACAAAAATAATGTATAACACCATTTATGTGAGTGGTGTAGAGAAGTCGAAGCCAGATGGAAATGAAAATTGTTTAATGAGTGTAGAATGTCCATTCTCCAAGATGAAAGGGTTCTGGAGGTTGGTTTTACAAAAATGAGAATGTACTTAACACGACTCAGCTGTACGCTTAAAAATGATTAAGATAGTACATTTTATGTGCATTTTATCACAACTAAGAATGAGCTTGAGAGAAACGTAGATGGGACTTGCTCTGATAATAGGACTGTTAGAAGAGCAAGCTGCTTTCTTCACTCAAGACTACTGTTGCTGCCTTCTTGGGACTTCACTCAACAGAGACATTCAAAGGGAAGGGTTGCCTACTTTAATGGGCTCTGGATGCCTATGGCACTGACAGGTGATGGCTTTGCCTTCACAGCTGTGCATCTGCCATTATTATTCCAAACTCTGTGAGAAGAAGCTGGCTCGGGTGTTCAGTCCCTGCCCCTGTGACAGCGCTGTGTTCTCTCCAAAGAGGTGGATGTTCTTTGTGACTAGGTGACTGATTTAAATTGCAATGTTTCCTAATTATACTGGCTTTCAGGTAAAGATGAAACCCACAATGCTTTCCCTTTCACCTCCAAAATTATGCTGCTTGGGCAACTAGCTAAACGAACTTCCCATAGTTCTCTACTTCCTATATGAGAGCTAAGTGTTGAGCTGCTGCTAGCTCTTGTAAAGGATCCTCTGGCCTGTTGGGGGTGCTGTCTTCATGCTCTAGTGGTTGGTACATGCCACTCTATATGCCCGCCCCCAACTTCCAATGGCTCTACTTTTAGAGTTCTGGAAAATAGGTATACATTCTGTACAAACTGTATTTTGAATCTTGATCTTTCCCCAAGCTAGCAATATGTGGCAGGTAACCTTTCACAATGTCCAATTGCAGGCCAAGTGTTCTGAGCACACGAAGGTAGGTTAAGTCAAGCTGTGATGTTCAGCAATTAGGAGTACTAAATCTATTTTCTACTTGCAATATCTTCAACTTAATGAGAGATGTTTTATGACCCCATCATAAACTGTGGAGCATCTGGTATTTTGTTTGCACACCCCCACACACATACATTCTCAGTGTGATTTATTTGACATTTACAACTTGTTTTTAACCAAGAATTGAGGTGTCCAGGGTTGTAGCATAGATCTGTAAACATCATAATGTTGGATGAATGTGTACTCTGGCCCACTCTGCTGACCTCTGAGTGTGGTGTGTCTCCTTATCTCCTTGCCTTTTAAATTACAGCTGGTCTTAGTTTCTTGGAGGTACTTCAGGAGACAGGCAAGCAGAAGACCTATTTGCACCAGGTCCTCTCTCTGCTCTCTCACTGTTGACTCCAGAGGGGAATGAGATTCAGCACCCTTTTATGACAATGGACAATGGCTACCTTAGACCTCCAGCAACAGCTTCTTCCCTTTGCCCTCCTGTCTTTAGGGTTTTAGCAACTTTCGGTGGTTGCTATGACCTTGTTTTTTCCCTTCCACCTCTGTAAATAGTTCCTTTGAGTTCTCACTGTTTTCTGTCAGGATTCTGATTGATTCACTCCAGGAGAAAAAGTACTGCAGAGAGCCAGGGTCTAGGAAAGAGAAGGCAATATTAAAATCAAACCCCCAAGCTGATGGGCATACTTAGCCTCTGACTTAGTGACTTGGCTTTTCAACATGGAATCCAATAACTCCATTGACTGGGCCTTTTAATTTTAGTAGCATGAACATCTTTTGAGACATCCACCCTCATCATGTTCTGATCATCATTCCTGTGTATAACTACAGTGTGAAAGGTTTGCAAACTAGTTAATAGAAAGAATTGTGTGCTGGTAACCTAGCTTTAAGAGAAAAATATGATATTGTTGTTGTTGATGGTGATAATGACAGCTAACACTTATTGTTTATCATGTACCAGGTATGGTACTATATCTTTTGTGCATACTTCCTCTGAATCAACTCAGTGAAGCAAACACTTGGTTTTACAGATGAAAACCTCAAGTTTGCAGAGGCTGAATATTCGGTCTTAATTTACAACTGAAAGTTGAGCCCAGTTCTTCTGACACAAGAGCCAGAGCCTTAACTGTTTCCTGAGCAGTTCTCCAAATGTGTCCCCAGTATTGCTGGTAGAATAGAAGGTTTGGGCAAGGTGTGTGTGTGGGGGACTGTCTAGAGTGAAGAGTGTGATTGTTATATTCACACAATGGTTGTGATGCATTTATATTTAGTCTTCCATTTTCTTTTCTTTATTGTTTCCTTTGGAGACAAGGTCTTATTCTGTAGTCCAGGCTATCCGGGGGTGCACTATGTAGTCCAGGCTGGTCTGAAACGCTCAATGACCTTCTCGCTTCATCCTCCTAATTACTGAGGTTACAGGTGTAAAACATTACGTGTGGCTCAGCATTCCATTTTCAGTAGCGATAGACTTTCCCTTTCAAAATCAGTCTAATAAAAATAATGAAATAAATTGAAAGTAAAACACTGAAGAACTATTCAGGTGGAGTATAGAGAGAGCATAAATTATGCATGAGATTTGTGAAATGTTTTCTCTTTCCATATCAGCCCTCAAGGAGCTGATTCAAAAATGGTTGGAAATTAAAAACAAATATGCTCCTACCTGGAACCAAATTCCTTTCTAGTTAACTCACTTCTATTTTGCTCATTTCCAGAAATAGTTTATGGTACAATCCATATTGCTTCAACTAGGGTTTCTGTTCCACTGCTCACTTTATAAGAAATTGACAACTGAATGTCAGTATTAGATGAGAATTGGGTATGTCCACCTCCAGTTGAAGAATGCGATGAAGGTGGGAATAAAAATTGCCAACAGGAGAGGAAAGAACCCTAGCTTTGCTTCTGCACAGGTTAGAATTATTTCAGATAATTCAGTCAATTAAACAGCATGTATGGCATTCCCTCTCAGAGATGCCATGTGTAGGTCTGGAGTTGCATTCCCAGCCATGTGAGAAGCAAACGAAAAGTTCTCCCTTAGAGATGTGTACCTCCAGCCTTGTGTGCAAGCACCTCTGCTCTCTCCAGATTGTGGTCCTAGCTAGAAATCACATAGAGTTTCTTAACTGGATCAGGCTAGCACCAAGACACCCACAAGTCACTGGCAAACTCCCTTCACGTCTCCCACCATGCCCAGCTGCTCACCAAATGTGCCACTCTACCACTACCTCATCAACCTCAAACTGCTTTCTCCTTTCCCTGACATTCATCTCTTACAGTTCCCCCTCCGTGACCCAGGCAGCAGATCACCAAACTGCCCAGCCATGTACCAGTCAGGGAGGTCAGGGAAGGTTTAGCATGAATCCATTTTAGCTCCAGTATTTACCAGCGGGCTTCTTCATGGTCCTATCCACTCAAAGGCTTGCTTCTGACCAGGGATAGATAGGGTGATGTTATGAGTCAAACGTGAAATGTCTCCATGGGTTCCTGTGTTAAAAACTTGGTCTCCAGCTAACTGTGCTTACTTTGGGAGGCGCTGGACAATGTGACTCACAGGAGGCTGGGGGCATGTCCTCAGGGGCCAGATCTTATTCTGGCCTCTTCCTTTCTCCATTCTGCTTCCTGCCTTGACGGGAGTCATAAGCCTAAGCGACCCTTGACACACAAGCTGCTATATTTAGGTTTCTCTCCTCTTTTCTTAGATCTAGGCCTTACTTAAGTCTCCATAGCACCAGAACCTCTTCTCACAGATACCAGAACCTCTTCTCAGATATCAGGTGAATGAGCTGCAGTTAAGCAATTAGGCAGTTAGACAAGAGCAGATAGATAACCTTCAGAGCAACATTCCCTGCTGGCCGAACAGCCCATAATTAAGTCCCTTTCTGCTTGCAACCCCCTTTGCCTACCTATATATGCCTTGAGAGAAAAATAAAATTTTGGAGCTTGATCAGACGTCCTGTCTTACTCTCATTCTTTGTGTCTCTTGTCTCTCTCATTCGCCGGCCCTCCCTTTAGGTCCCCGTTGAAGACCCCGCTGGCCGGGGCACTGCCTTAGGGAGGAGACCTTGCTGCTGTGATATTGCATCTCACCTCAGGTCCAAAGCGAATCTAGACGATCATTGCCTGAGACCATGAGCTGAAATACATGTTTCAGTTTCCGTAAGTTTCTGTGTTAGCTTGTTTGTCACAGTGATGGCAATGAACAGATTTGGGATCTTTTCGCAGTTCCAGCTCTGACTCAAAAGGAGGTCTCCTAGCACTGACCATTTGCTTTCAGGCAGATTATTGAGTCATAGCCCCTTAGAGCTAAGAGACTGACTATAAAAATGGACCAGCTCTTCTATAAAGTCAGACTTTCAGGAAGCCAAGTCTATCTCTACTGAAAACCCAGGATGTACCCAATATTTCTGCAATCAGCCCCACGTGGAGAGGGCTTGAATAATATCTGCTTGAATAAATTTCCTGGGTTTGGTCCTCACTTCCAACTGAGGAAAAATCACAGTCTCAGAAAGCAAATATGCACTTACTTCTTAACCAATGACGTAGACTGGTCCTCTTCTAGCCTCTGCTAAGGAAGCTTCATCATGTCACCATTCACCATTCATTCACCTCAGGACATCAAGAATTTCCATCTTTTCTACTACAAAGCAACTCACACCTGCATTGTGGTGTCTGCCCACACACAAGGGATAGTGGAAAAACTTGACTTTTCTAGCTTGTTTCAGCTCTGTTTGTTTTCACAGAGCCTGTAGCCTGCTTATCCTTCTGTCAGAGGGCCCTGGAAAATGCAACTCCAGACCTCATTGTCTCCAGTGGAGAGGATTCTGTTCCCTGTTGGAAGTAAAGGACACAGCAAGAAGTGTCAATGGGAGCCTTTCCCTAGAGGAGCGTGCAGGTCTACCTCAGAAGACTCAGGCACTGTCTTGAGGGAGGTCCCAGGGACAGTAGGTTTTCTTAAGAGCCACTGAGTGACCAGGCCAGGTGTAATTGGATTTCAACTCAGGTTCTTTCCTCATTTCTCAGGCCCATCCAGGATACAATGGTTGCAGATCATTCCTACCTTTGTGGAATCCTTTTAAACCTGTGTTTTGCACCTCGGTCCATCAGTGTGGTCATAATCCCAGTGGGGATACATTTCCTCTCAGCCTGCTTCCTGACTACAGGATCCAGTCCTAAGGCCTGCATTCTCCTCGCGCCACCTGCCCTGACCCCTCTCCAGCACACACTGTCACTGTAGCAGCAGCAGCGGGCGATGCTTCCCTTAGCCATCTTAACCGGATGCCATCTGAATCATGGAGCCTCTCTCCGACAGATCAGGCTCTGGCAATGGTTTTGAACAAATTGAGAAGCAACCACATGATGGCACTATAAAACTACAGATGCCCTTAGAAAGCCTCAACCTGCCAAACCCCAGGGAGCTGAGATCTGCATCTGCTTCTCCCTCGAGTATCAGAAAAGTGAAAACTGGTAATGGTCCTCAGTCCCCTGAAAGTCTTAATATTATTTCGCCAGCGATCCTTCTTGCTAATCAATAGCCATCTGTGTTTGACATTTGTCAAGCATTAACTCTGCCTCTCCAGGAATATCCCACTGCCCACTACAGACTCCCACTTTGTCTCAACACGTGAAAATTCCTGTCCTAGTCTCCCGTGTGCTACAAACACAGAAATAGACACACCTAGATTGCAGAAAGTTTAAAATGCCTTACCTAAACATGGGCTAAAGGATTTCATTTCTGCGTCCATCATTATGCCAAGTAGATAGAAGCCCTTTCCCTCTCCACATACCAAGCCGAGCAAATCACAGGCACAAATGAAAAATGCCCATATCTAGAAAACTCCCTTCACTGCCTTGGCTGATTCGTCACTATGCATTTACATAGCACTGGCGAGGTTGCCCAGGTAATCACACAAACATTTGATAATTCCTTCTGCCTTCTCTCAGCTGATACAAAGTCTTTGGGTGTGAGGCTTGTGTTGTGCATGCTTTTAGGAACAGAGCGCTGGGGGATTTATCTGCACTCTGTATTTCTTAATGTAACCTCATGATAGCCTGAGAGTCCCCAGGCTCTATATGAACGGCAGCTTAGCACAAAGGCAAAATAGATCTTCAGGGTCAAGTAGAGGTGGGTGCATCAGGGGGCAATTTAAATCCTGTTTCAATCCGTGCTTGTGTTGTGACCTTGGCCAAATGGTCTCCATTTCTTTATTCCTCAATTTGCTTCTCTGTGAGCCGAGATAAAATGTGTTGCTTTCCTAAGTTGTTAGGGTGATTAAATGAAATAATATACCCAATAGGTGCTCAGAGATGGATAGCTAGTTCGGAGAGTAAAGTGGATGACCACGGAGTATGGCTCAGCGAGGGAAAGTCCTCAGGCTCCTTTAGAAATACAGGGTAGCAAATAAGACAGCTTGAATTTGTAGCCCAAACCCGGTGAGGCAATTTATGCAATCGATTTAGACAAGGCAAGCAAAGCTTTCGAAGCCTCGGTGTCTCCATTTATAATCTGGCCCTGCCGGTGGTGCTGAGCGAGGAAGATGAAATGCCCGAGATGATGATCTGAGTCCTTACAAAAAAGAAAAATTTGGACTAAGAAAGATATCTGAATATGGAAAACTGTAAAGATGGAGGCACAGATAGGATGATGCATCTGCGAGCCACAAAGGCCAAAGACTTAAAAAACAAACCAACAACCTTCCTCCTGGAATCCAGGAGAGAGGTTCTCACAGCTCAGAAGGAACTGTCTCTTACTTATGAGCCCAAGGCCAGCAGTGTGGTCTTGATCAGCAGCTCTCTAATTGGACTTTAGACTTGATCAACAAGAAGGAAGCCGTGGCCGGGCGGTGGTGGCGCACGCCTTTAATCCCAGCACTCGGGAGGCAGAGCCAGGCGGATCTCTGTGAGTTCGAGGCCAGCCTGGGCTACCAAGTGAGTCCCAGGAAAGGCGCAAAGCTACACAGAGAAACCCTGTCTCGAAAAACCAAAAAAAAAAAAAAAAAAAAAAAGAAGGAAGCCGTGCCTGGTACTGGAAACCTAGTCAACCCCCAGAGCTAGTGAAGTCATGGATCTTGGAGAAGAACCTACAGTTGCCACATTTACTAAACCAGGATAATCCCTAACTACCTTCTAAATATTTGTCCTTATACTCACAGGTGTGTGTAGTCTTCACCCCTCATCAAGGAAACTTCTCTTTGTAACAGAGACCATTACAGAAAACCACAGCTAGTCAAAAATGCAGATTTCTGGAGCCCAGTTTCAATGGATACATCTACAAAACAGTTGTATCACCCAAGGCTCAGGGGACATTGCTGAAGAGGAGGTGGAAAGACTGTAAGAGGCAGAGGGTTAGGGAGTTGCTGTGAGATTGTCTCCTAGTAATATCAGAAGCTACATTCATAAAGTCTCACCAAAGTGACTACCTAAACATGAACTGAACATGAATGGACAGTAACAATAGACATGATAAAGTGGATAGGGGAAAGCCCACGTGGCCTCACCCCTACCCAAAGAACTACAGTCTTCCCCAGGGAAGAGCGCACCGATTGGTTACCAAATACCAAATGGTCAGCCCTGAAAACATGCACACACATAATATCATACAGACTGAGCGGTGGTGAGGTGTGTGTGTTTAATATCTTTTTATGTATGTAGCAACAGTTCATAAGAAAAAGGTAATGAATTTGAAAGAGAGCAAGGAGGAGTATATGGGAAGGTTTGGAGAGAGGAAAGGTAAGGGGAAAATGATATAATAATATTACAATGTCAAAAAAATAAAACAAACCAAAAAGAATTCCCTCTACTCTAGATTCTTAACCAGAGCCAACCCCCATTTTCTGAATTCCTTCCTGCTCTGCTCTGACTCCAGGGAGCTCCACAGACTGGTACCTGATACAGGCAGAAGAGTGGGGGCCTGTACAGTGGAAAAGGAGGAGGATCCTGGTATGCCTCTGGTTAGAGGCTGCTGGCTCCGGGAAGCTCAGCATTAGACTTCTAGGCCTCCTAAATTGGGGCAGGAAATTTCTCATGTTGAAGCCACCCCGTTGGAGGGACTTTATGGGAGCCTTGGCAAACGGATGTAGTTATCAAGGGCATGGCACTCAGTAAGCCTCCAGCCGGTGTGCAAATGACTGCTGGCCATGTTAAGCTAGCGATCTTGCTCATCCCCCCCCCCCACATCAGCTCCTTTCCACAGGCATATTTCCAACCAGCTTCTCTTGCGTGCTTGCTAGAACTTGCTTTTTCCTGTGATGCTTACACACACGCGCAGAGAGGAATATACCAGAGTAGATTTCAATCAAGCTGTTGTTTAGAGTTTCACAAAATTGAAACACCTTGAACAGAGATCATTAAAGAAACAGCCCAGCATGTGGAGGATGGTTATACACAAGTCGAAAGAGGAACCGGGCACCACTGTGGTTAAATCGCAAGTTTTGGCAGTTGCCAGCCCATGGTTAACATAAAACAAACCAGCAGGGTTGGGATGGGGCATAGCATCCTGGTTTTTTGCTCATGTATCTCCAGGGAGTGGACAATAACATCAAGACAAGAACCAATTAAAGCCAATTAAAGAGATGTTGTTGATAACTGAGGTCTGAGTTTATCCAGTGCCAAGTGGATCAGCCCTGAAATCAAATGAACTGAGCAGGTTGAGCAGGGTGTGTGTGTGTGTGTGTGTGTGTGTGTGTGTGTGTGTGTGTGTTTGTATACTAAAAAAAAAGAGCCCATAATAGTGAGAGGAGGTACAAGGGAGGGCACATAGGAGGAGCTGGAAAGAGTAAAGGGAAGGGGGGAAATGATATAATTCCATTTTAACAGAAAAAGTAAAAAAAAAAATGTAAAAAAGAAAAGAAAAGCACCATGTACATAGCTGGGTCGCTCCCTGGCTACAGTTTTCACACTTTTTCTGAGGCAGCACAGAGGGAGCAATTTAGATGACAACTTAAAAGTCTTGGGGAATGATTGACTTGTCGCTTGGCTTTGTATCTTGATGTCCAAGTGGTCTCTAGGCCCACAGAATCTCTAAAAGCACTCATCCGTTAGGGAAGGTAGTCCAGTTCCCAGCTTGTACAGCGTATGAAGCAATGGGTATTTGTTGTAAAAAAAATAAATGATGTAAAAATAAATATGTATTTTAATGACTTGATTCTGGGACGTAAAGATCATTAGGGCAGCCCCACAGGAAGAGCAGGCATTTAAAATCGGAGCAGGAAGCCTTTGGAGGTCTTTCTGTAAAAAGGGAAGTTCTGTTTCCTTCTCATACATGCTGTGCACAAACAATCCCTAGAAATGAACTGTCTGGAGTCCCTTATTTCTTAATTAATCCAATTTTGCTAGTTGATATAAATGGGATGATGTTTGGGCTAAGTGGAAGTACAGGGAAGTTTAGGAGATACAATCCAAGGAGGAGTTTCAGCTCCCTCCACAGCTGCTGCTCTGTTTTGCTTTGAATTAGATTTGAAAATTAATTTTTCATTTGAAACTACTCTGTATCCCCCCTCCCCCTCCCACTTTTCCTTAGCCACTGACCTCCCATAAGTGTCCTTATCCTGCCCAAGGGAACTAACTTCTACTTTCTACATCACCTGACAACTTTCCCATCATTTTTCACCACTTAACTAGGCAGATCGTGTTTTAGAAAGAAGAATGTGGTACAACTAGCCCAGGGTTACTAGTGTATGAAAAAGACAAAAGTCTCCTCTGCATGTGAGCATGTCAAAGATTATCTGCTTCGCTTCATTTTGGTGAGCCCCACTATGTTTTTAACACTTAAAACTCAAATACAGAAGAACACAACTTTTTCCAACGTGCCACTGGAAGGTTGAGACACAGAATGGGTTAGTGTGGAATAGTAGTTTCCTCCAAACTGAAACCATCTCTCCAGGAGGTAGAGGGGACTCATGAGACAAACAAAACGTCTCATATCCAGGAAGAGGAAACTTGGAAGGTTCTAGAAGGTTTCTCTGTAGCTTCATAACAGTAGCAAACAACTGCTGGGGAAGAAAGGGAGACTGAGTGAGCTGGGAGAGGTGCTCTCTCGGCCTGTGGAGCAGCCTGTAAATGTAGAAAGCTCCAGGACTGCAGCTTTCCTAAGTTACCATCCATGTCTCATCGCCTGGGTAAAGATCGGCTTTTGGATGATACAGTTGTTTGTCTTTTCCAATCACTGCTCCTGTGAGCATCCCTTAATCCACAGACCCGTTAGTAACTCCAATAAACACTCCCTGGTTTTCCAGGTCTCACTTTGGTGTAATGGTTCATTTGGTTGGTCATTGGTTTTCTTTGTGGGGTGAGTAGTCATGTGTTATTCTCTGCCCAGGAAAAGTCTATCACACAATGGCTAGCTGTCCTAACAGCTCCCCCTTTTTAAATGACAACATTTAATGTATTTGTTGATAACACAGCTTCCCATCAAACAGGGTTTTGATCAGCTGATTACATGCATGATAAGGAAAAAATTCTAAGAATTAGGAAATTACACACAATAGTTAATAGTGCATAGAAAGTAAAAAAAAAATAGGAAAAAATATGTTCAAGAGGTTGGAGAGGGGTTTCCATAATTCAGCTTTAAGTATGACTCCGTGAGTCTTGAAATTTCAAAGGTCAATAGTTAAATTACAGGGTTATGATCAGAAAGAAAGTCTGAGACTTCCAAGACATGATGTGTGGTGAGTCCTTTCAGTATGAGTACAGTGAGGGCCACTTTCATGACAATACACTGTTCTCTACCTCTTCGTCTCCTCCTGTCAATCGTACACCCTTGGTCTCCATTTTCTATTCCATGTCTCCACACATGATG